GCATTCTCTTGATGAGCTTCAAGAGGTAGTCACCTGAAATGGTCTTCCAACAGTCTTGAAGGCGTTCCCAGAGATGCTTATTACTTGTTGGCCCTTTTTTCTTCACTCTGCTGTCCAGCTAGTCCTAAAACATCTCAATTGGTTTCAGATCCAGTGATTGTGGAGGCCAGGTCATCTGGCGCAGCATCCTATCACTCTCTTTCTTGGTCAAATACTGTAGCCCTTACACAGCTTGGAGTTGTGTTTGTTCATTGTCCTGTCGAAAAATAAATGATGGTGGTCCAACTAAAACGCAAACCAGATGGAATAGCATGGCGCTGCAAGAGACTGTGGTAGCCATGCTTGTTCAGTATTTCTTCAATTTTGAATAAACCCCCAACAGTGTCACCAGCAAAGCAACCCCACTCCTCCCCCATGCGTTCACCTTTCTGCGTCGCACAAAGACACGATGGTTAGAACCAAAGATCTCATATTTGGACTCATCAGACCAAAGCACAGATTTCCACTGGTCTAATTTTCATTCTTTGCGTTCTTCAGCCCAACGACTCTCTTTTGCTTGTTGCCTGTCCCCAGAAGTGATTTCCTAGCAGGAGCCCTGATTCACACAATCTCCTCTTAACCGTTGTTCTATATATTCATGTTATTTGGAATCTTTTGCTTCCACTACTGTTAGACAAAACATTAATGACATCTTCATGAACTCAGAGCAGCAGCTGAAAAAAGGAAATTTAATCAGCCTAGTCTCTCAAAACTACACAAGTGACATCTTGTTTACTAAGATGATGAAAAAGATGTAAATGAGAAAATGTCAGTTAAGTAAGTAAAGAAGATAAATTAATATAGTCCTATAAGGAATCTGAAATGTTCTTAAAATGTTTAAACATTGAATAAAGTTGGCCAATTTCAGCAAAAATATGAAACATAAAAAAAAACTAATAAATATTTTGCTTGCACTGGATTTAAAGCACTGGGCATACATTTATTCTATCTGACTGATCTAAAAAAGCCTTTGACGCCCCAGAAACCCTTTGATTAACTCTTTTGTATCACAGTTTGCGGGTCTCCATGTACATTCTTACTTTGTGTTTGATGATGGGGAACTGACCTTATAACAATGTAGCCACTGGCTAATGTAACATTGACGTGACAGTAAGCAAAATTGTTCCAAAGAATAAATAAAAAAATTAACTTTAGAAAGTATGAAGTTCCTTCTGGAGACAGATCAGCTAAAACAATGTAAGCCAGTTTTGTATAATTTTGCGGTGCATCGTTTTCTTAACACCTGGAATGCTAAAGCGATAGCACTGTTGGATTAGTTCTACACGTTATCAATCTAGGCTTGCTCTCATGGAATCTGTTTGGGTAAAGGAAGGACATTCAGTAGAACTTTCCGAGCTGATAGGAATAATTGACATACTGCCCGCCTACCTAAGTTTGGTTTTAGCCAATCAGAAGGTGGAGAAAATGCAACATTGCTGCTTTTCTTTTAAAGATGAATCTGTAGCACTTTATCAAAGCAGTACTGCCATAATTATTTTAGTTAGTTTAATTAGTTTCTGCTGTGGGCTTATAACCTTTCGTTATAGCTGTGTGTCCTTCCCTATACTATAATACTGCAACATGATTAGTCAATACTCCTTCTCTCAAATGATTGAGACGACAGCAGGACAAGATGGATTCTCATGTGTTTGTGAACATAAATACTGGGAGAAATCAGCCTTTAAAGTGAGGACATTTTTATTGTAAAGACAAATAAAATGTGCTTTTTATGTTACAGCCACACGCACTTTTTAACAATAGAATTCAGATTTCTGGTTTATGACTCCTTTATAACAACCTATGAGCAGCGCTATGCACCAACATCCTCATTTTAATATATGTGTGACCTAAGTTAGCTTTTATTAAGAACTTATATAAGCAGTGCTCTCTTTGGTGCAGGGGTGAAGCTATGCCAGGACGGTCCGGTACTGTGTAACTCTAAAAGAATTAGAGGCAGGACGCAATACCCGCTGGCTGCCCATTAGTACCACTAACTTCAGTTTACAGTTACCAATCAGAGCGTGCAGTGAGGCTGGTCTGCAGAGTTTAAATCTCAATCACACTTGCTAAATATATGTCTGATGGTCGCTTAACTCTGACAAACTGATCTCTGCCGGCTGTGCTCATGCACAAATCCTTCTTTACACGTATTTAGCTCTGTCTCTGCGTTTCCCTCAGTGGTATGCTCAGCAGCTTTCCACATTCATCTATGGGCTCTGCTGCCTCGGCCCTCAGAACCTAGTGAACTATATCTGGCTAAACTGTGTGGGACAAAAAAATTAATAAATATGAAAATAAATATATACACATATAAATCTATAAATACATGAAATACATGAATAAAAAACTAAATATGTTTTGGTCATCAAAAGACCAAGTGTTTTGTTGTTTTTTATCTTATTTTTCTCTATATATGTATGTTTTTGTGTATTTTCTCCTGTTTGTGTATTTATACATTGATTTATTTCTACAATCATTTAGTTGTACTTATTTTTATTTCTTCCATGCATTTATTTCTGTATTTCTAAATTTCCACATTTATTTATAAACGCATTTCTGCAGTATGTTAATGAAGTGGTTGGTTCTAACATCTTTCTTCAGCACGATTGGTTAATAAAAGTATACCTTAGACAGGTCTCCCTCCTCCGCATTGTGGGCGCATCATTAACATTCACATTTTACAGCAAAGCAGTTCATGATTTTTATAAAATTAAGCAAGAAACTGGTTATGCAGAAACATAATCTGCAATAGTAGCTGCATTGTCTTGTGCACCATGAAAACGGGACATTGAGCAAGATTTGGCGTCAACTTGTAACACTGACTCGCATATAGAATGCATATGAGCATCTTCATCATCATTCTGAATGGGCCTCCGCTGCTCTGTTCTCCTGGATGAAATTTTAGTACCCGGCTTCATGCCAAGGTAGTTATCCTTGCCAGAATTGTCCCTGATCATTTTTTATCCCCTTGTAACTTTCACATGAAAACAGCTAACAGCATTTCTGGAACAGTTCCTTATTATTAGAAGGGGTTCTGATCCAAATATCAAGAATGTTGGATGTGGCTGGTCTATTTTATCTTTTATTTTTACAGAAATCTTTAACAAAGTGTTCTTTAGGTGTCTCACAACCTGAGCACAGATAAGAAAATGCTACTCCTGGTAATTATCTTTGTCATAACAGTAATAAAGGCTTTTCCATAAACACTGAAGTGTGTAAATAAATGGTGATAGGGTAAAATTGTTTAAAAATTGTAGAATTTAAAGAATTATTCTGAAGATAAAGAATGTTTATGCATTTTTATTAGGAATTGATCATACTCATATATTAATTAGCCCTGAATATTTTCTTATATTTATCAAAAAGCTAAATTAGATTTTGTGCTAAAGACTCAAAATTTAAAACTCAAGTGTAATTTAGCTGCAATATATTGGTTAAATTTGTCTATATCTGAAATTACTTGATCTTTTAAAATCCAATAAAAAGAAACAATATGGGCCAGTTAATATTTTATCCTGTTAAAACCCACCGGGTCGCGAGCGACCCATTTTATGCATTTTCAGAATGTTTTGCGCATTACCATTTTACGGTTCAGAATGCATGAAAATTACCAACGGTAAAATTTTTTACCAATATAGGCTTGTTTGACATTGTTAGAAACCTTAGATTCTCCACAATTCAACCACAAAGTTCATTTTATGGACACAGTGAGCACCAAAGCACAGTTAACACAGATATAGCAGCATGTCAAAATATAAATATGAGAAAAAGCTAGGACCATAAGGGTCCACAGATTAAAAGTAATCCAGCATATATATATATATATATATATATATATA